TAGCTAAAAGAGTAGATCTTAAAAAAATTCTCACACACAAAAAAACTATTTGAAGTAACCTATGTATTGACCTTATTGTGGTAATCCTTTTGCAACATATACATATATCATATTGTATACCTTATTCATTATTTGTCAATTAAATCTCAATAAAGCCGGAAAATAAAATTTATAGAAGCATAAAAGTTCCTTGAACAACTATGTCAACCTTAAAGAAGAGTCAAGAGGATCAACTCTCCCTATTAGATAGCAAGATGCGCTATGAAATTAGAGTAATAAAAAAAAGATAGTATTAGTGTGATAATCCAGACAAACCTATGAAATGCTAAAGAGCTCCCAGAGATTGACCTACATTTATATGGGAACTTAATATTTGACAGAAAGCATTTTAACACCAGGGGAACAATAAAAATTATTTAGAGGTGACACAAAAGACTTAAAATCACTAAATGATTTTAACATCTGGATCATTACTAAAGCCATATGAAACTAAGAAATCCACCTGGATAAGAGATTTCAGTGTGTAAGACAGAAGTCTAAAATTAAAAGAAAATTAATAGAGTATCTTGGTTATCTAGGGAAACAGATAAGCATTACCAAAGGGGGGGGGGAGCAAACAAACCCAAATACTTGGATTACATTAAAGTTGAGCAATCCTGCCCTGTAAAGAAACTTAACACAATTTTAGTAGGCAGACAATAGATTGGAAGATGTTTGCAATACTACAAACAGATACAAAAAGATAAAGCAAAAGAGATGGACACCTAGAATATTCAAGCAGCTACTTAAAAAAAATACAAGACAGAAACCTCAATGAAAAAGAGTGCAAGAGATATCAAAAGGAATTTACAGAAGAAGAAACCCCAAAGACACACAAGCATATAAAGAGATATCTAGCTTAGTTATCAGAGAAATGGAAATGTAAAACAATGAAATATCAGGTTGCCCTATTAGACTGACAAAACTTGGAAAGCTGCATAATGCCAACTATTAGTGGGGGTACAGAAATTTAGAAACACTTTGCACTTCTTGTGGGAATTTATAATCATACCATTCAGGAGAGCAATTAATCTCATTAGGGTGCATAAGAAGATACACATAATGGTGTCCATTACTTTTGGTGATGACATGGAATTAAAAGTCATTGGTATCCATTACTGAGAGAGGATAGGCAAAGTGTAGTAGATACATAACAGGAGTACTAGAGCAATGAATATATGTCTTAAAAACTGCTGAGTAAAATAATAAATGAGATATAACCATACTATTTACATAAAATTACATGCATTTACTTTACTATTTTATAAGAACACATATAAACGAAAGTTGAGTATTAAACATTTTACAAGGTGAGGGAAATGGGGAGATATTGGTCAAAGGGTACAAACTTCCAATGATAAGATTAAGAAATTCCGGGGATCTAATGTACAGCATGGTGATTTTAGTTAGCAATATACAGCATGGTGATCTCAGGTCAGATTTTAGTGTTATATACTGGAAAGTTGCTAAGAGAGTAGGTCTTAATTGTCCTCACCACAAAAAAGAAAATGGTAAACGCTCTGATGGTAATCATTTTCCAATATATAAGTGTATCAAATCAATGTGTATTCTACCCAGTGAAAATTTATTCAAGAATAAGAGGCATTTTCATACAAGCAAAAATTGAGACATTCATTCCTACAAGCAGACCTTCACAAAAGATGTATTTTAGGCAGAAAGAGGTCCCCAAAAATGTGGAAGTGTAAGACACAGGAAAAATGTAAGCAAAATGGTAAATATATAGGTGTATAAAATTGGACATTACTACATAAAACAATGTCTTAAGGTTTAAAATTAAAATAAAGGACACTACCACATGTTGTGGTTGGGGCAGGCTAATGGGATTCAAGAGTCTTAAGTTCCTATACATAATCTAGGAGGAAAATAATGTTATTGATTAGACTTTAAAAAGTTATGTATGTTATGATTTCTAAGTCAACCAGTAAATGAAAAGAAATAGAGTATATAAATGATTAGAAGGAGAAATAGAATTAAGAATAAAATACATAAAATGCTTAAGCAAAATGAGAAACACTCAAGCAAAATAATATGAGAAACAAACAAAATGTTTGGGTCACACAGAAAGTACAAAATAAATTGGTAGATACAACCCAAATACAGGAGTATTACATTAAATGTAAATGGACTAAATACTCCAGTAAAAATACATACTATTATATGAGGGCTGGGGGAGTCCAATTATAGGCTGCTTACAAAGGATATCTGTAACATGAGTATATATATGTTACGCATAAAAGGATAAAAAACTTATACCATGCCAATGCTTAACAAAAGAAAGAAACTTCAAGACAAAAACATTACTGAATATAAAGGCAGTCACTTTGTAATAAAAATTTCAGTATTATGTGGATACACCATTTTATATTCATAAGAACCTAAATATATTTTACACAAAGCAAAATTGAACAGAACCAGAAAGAGAAATTGGTGAGTCCACAAACATAATGAGAGGTTTTGACATACTACTCTCAACAACTGATAGAACAATTAGACTGAAAAAAATTAGTAAGAATATAAAATTTGAAGAACATAGTTAAGAAAAGTGACTTAATGGATGTACATTTGTATAGATATTACAGTAACTGTGAAATATACTCTTAACAAGTTAGCTTTTTAAAAAGGTTGACATATACTGTGTCAGAAAGTATATCTCAAGATTTCAAAGGATTAAGTTATACAGACTCTAGCCACAATGTGTCCTCTAGCCACAATGCAAACAAACCAGAAAAGAGTAACAGAATCATAGCTAAAAGAAAATCCCCTACCATTGTGAATCAGGAAATACACATCCAGAGCACCTGGGTGGCTCAATCAGTTAAAACATCCGACTCCTGATTTCAATTCAGGTCATGACCCCACAGTTTGTGATTAGAGCCTGAGTCAGACTCTGCACTGACAACATGGAGACTGCTTAGGATTTTCTCTCTCCCTCTCTCTTTGCCCCTCCCCTGCTCACGTACATTCTTTCTCTCTCTGTCTCAAAATAAATAAACTTAAAAAAAGAAAAGAAATACATTTCCAGGTAATCTTTGGGTCAAAGAAAAAAATTTTTAAAATAGAAAATACTTCAAAGTGATAATGTATGTTACAATGTGTGGCACTCACCTATAATGATAAGAAATGTACACCATTAAAAATATAGAACGTAGGAAATCATGTATGAGACTATCTTTGACTTTTTGGTAGGGAAGAATTTCTCAAGACTAAAAAGTGCTAACCATACAGAAAAGATTAATAAATTAGAATTCATCAAAATTAAAAACTTTATCCGAAAAACCAGCCATAAAAACCTACAGTGAGAGCATCACAAAAAGAGAAGGTGCAAACCACATAGTGGAAGAAGACATTTACAAGACCTATAACCAAGTCCTCAACATACGAAGAGTTCCTAGGAAGAGATATAAAAAGACCATCCTTTAGACAAGTGGGCAAGACATTTTAGACACTACACAAAAGAGGAAATTCAAATGGCTAACATACAAGATGATGCTTAATCTTATTCGGGGATATTCAAATGAAAACTTCAACGTGTGTGCATACATAAACACACACAGAAATTTTAAAATCCCAAGGGTTGGGTAACATGAAGCAACACAACTCTTGTACACAGCTGATGAGAAAGCAAATTGATACAACCAGTTTGGAAAACCAGTTTGGCACATCTTCAATAGTTAAAGATATATAAACTCTGTGGTCTACCAATTCTATTCCCAAAAATATACCTAGAGAACATTTTACACATAGGTACCAGGAGAAATGTGTGCAATTCTGCACGGTGGCATTATTTATAAACAACCCAAACTGCAAACAATCCAAGTGTCCCACCGCCCTAGGACAGATGAAATATGCTCTATTCATATAACCGAATGTTATGCTGTGATTAAAATGAATACACTTTCACCCACACCCATCAGCATGAATAGATTTTACAAATGATATTGACCAGAAGCAGGCCACATGAAATTTACACAGTATGACCCCACTTGTTTGTATTTTACGTGAGATAAAACTACACTACATATTATTTAGGGATGCATACCAAGAAAGAATAATAAAGAAAAGCAACAGAAACCTTTTCATGAAAGTCAGGACTGTCATTATCTCTTCAAGGGATGGAGGGAAGTAACAGAACATGATCCAGTGTGGAAGCATGCTAGGTCAGCGACAATATTCTAGTTCTCGCTCTGGGTTGTGGTTACACACATGTTCGCTTTAGAACCATTCTTTAAACTGTGCACATATTTTACATTCTCTTCTGAAGGTAGGATATGTATCACAATGTAGAAATGAAAAAAAAAGAAAAGCACTGGAATCCAACACAAAATTAAGGCTAATGGGCTCCCATGAAGGGGGAAAGGGCAGGGATGGATTTGGGGTGACGCCTACCAAGATTGGGAGACAGCAATGTTCTTTTTCTTAACCTGGATGTTGATTCACAGATGTTTGTTGTGTTGACATACCGCACATAATATATGCTACGTATAATATATAGCCATTTGAATCTTCCGGATACCTCATTTAAAATGTAAAGAGAAAACAAACTATTCAGGAACATCATCAAGAGTGGCTAGGTACTATCCTAATTCACAGCACTGTGAACAGGCCTGCCTGAAAACCTTATCATAAACTGTGACCAACTTACTTGAGAGTGGAAAGAACCCCTGGACCAGATCCTTAGCAAAGTGCCCCCACTGAGGCCGGAGAAGAGGTAGCTGGCCCCAAGCTATATGCTTCTTGAAACTTCTTGGTCCTGAACAAACCACACCCCGCCCCCGTGTCTCCTTGACCTTCATGCACTTTTTGAGCAGGTAAGCAGATCACAGTGCTCTCTCCAACACTCTGTAGATTGATTTTTCTCTGCTGCAATTAGAATAACAGCCCAGCCTGTCAAAAGCAAATTAATTTTGCTTTATTCTGCAAAGATTTTAGTGCTCTCTCACCTCTGTCTTCCAAGTTTTGCAGCTTATGTTTGAACCCAGTACTTTTCGTCAACGATTCTTGATCCACCGTCTCAGAAAAAAAAAAAAAAGAAAAGAAAAGAAAAAGAAAAAAGAAAAGGCCATAAATGTCTATTAAAATAAGAAACAAATGGTGCTACATCATCCCTTAAGAAGGAATAAGTACATTATGCAAGTATAATATTAGTTCTGGAAAACCAGTTGAATAACAATTAAATAGTACCTTAGATACATTTTCTTCAACTTCTGAGTGCTCCAAGGAAGACAGATCGCTCAGTGGGTGGGGACTTTGAAGTTCTGAGTGTTAGAACAGTTTCAAGGGAATAAACAAGCTTAGAAGCAACGTCAGGTAATAAACTTCAGTCTCTATATTAAATATGACCATCCAAAAAATGGTACTAAATGAAAACAAACAAACAAAAAAAACTTGCACCTTTCAGGGCATGTATGGTTATTAGGTTTGTAGATCTGTAGATAAAATCAAGAGCCTCAACTAAATCAGCCCCTTTCATAGCTGCCCACCACCTGGCCCCAAATATACAGGCAAGGCTCCTACTACCTCAAGTTTGTGATCTTTCTTCCTCCTCTCATAGTTCCACTTCCTTATTTCCTCTTACTCTCTAACAGTATATTTTTCTTTTTCTCTTCTCCTTACTCCTTTCCTGCCGGTGGCGGCCAAGCTAAGAGGTTGTCAGTCACGTCCTTACGGACTGCTCTCATGTGCTTGGCAACGTGCTAAGCTGCGGAATTGATCAAGCAGAACAAACCAAAATCCCTAGCCTTACAAAAGATGTGAATAGTTTTTCATAAAATACAGTGGAGGTTAAGATACACCTAGCGGAACAAAGGTTGGCAAACTCTGGCCTCTCAAGTCAAATCCAGTCTACCACCTGGTTTTATAAAGTTTTATGGAAACACAGCCATGCCCGTTGGTTTACATCTTGTCTGTGGTTCATCTGGGGCTACAACTGCCAAGTTGAATAGTTGCAACAGAAATTATAGGGGCCAAAAAGCAAAAAAAAAAAAAAAAAATTTACTATCTGGTTCTTTACAGAAAAAGTCTACCAATCCCGGTTATAAGTCATCACCTGAGTTTTCGTGCTTCTTTAAAGATGAACACAAGCTAATCTCAAATGTTAAAGCAAAATTAAAACAATATCCTCTGTTTTTTGCTAATGAGGAAATTAAAGAAAAGATAGTATTTGTACTTTTAACAGATATTCAAAACAATTTTTTGTTTAGTTCTAAGTATTTTTCCTAAAATAGAAGTTTTTTTCTATGTAAATCAACAGAAAATCAGGTACCTGCTTTCTGGGCAGAATCTTCAGGAGTTAAAAGGGCAGAACCACTCTGAAATTTTGTTCCAGAAATTTTTGGAGGTATGGAATTATTTTGGTTGGAGGTATCTTTCCATAGCGGTATTAGAAGTTTAGCCTAAAATATAGTACCTTTTTAAGAGTGTTAACATTCATAACCCCTCAAAATAGTTTTAGAAACTCCAATACATTTCTAATAACTTTTAACATAATTTAAGGGGGCACCTGGGTCATGATCTCATGGTTTGTGGGTTCAAGCCCCGTGTTGGGCTCTGTGCTGGCAATGTGGAGCCTGCTTGGGATTCTCTCTCTCTCCTTCTCTCTTTACCCGTTTCCCCATTTGCTCACTCACTCTCTCTCAAAATATATAAACAAACTTAAAAAATAAAAAAAAAATTAAATGCTTTAAGTGTTGGATTTGCTCCATTTGAAAATAAACACTAAGACCATAAGATCCTAGACTTGGAAGCACATGGTCATATATCAATTCATAATTCTAACTCAAAGATAAGTCTAATCAAAGTTCTCAAAGTAGGGAACACAGCATCGGCAGCACCCCAGAACTTGACAGAAATGCAAATTCCAGAGCCCCATCTATTATTTACTCAGTCAGCAACAATGGGATGGAACCTAGCAATCTGCATTTAAACAAGCCTTCTTGGTCATTCTGATGATCCCTGCAGTTTGAGAACCACGTCTTATAAATAAAGTTTTATTGAAACGCAACACGCCCATTCACTTTAGGTATTGTTCATGGCTGCTTTCATGCTACGGTGGAAGAGATGTATAGTCACCACAGAAAATATTACAATCTTCTGTGTCTAGAATGTTAACAATATTTACATCTAATCCTTCACAGAAAAAGTTTGCTGATTCCTGCCCTAAATTATCCTCTTATACTCCAACACAAAGAAATGAATTTTGGATGCTAATATTTGTACAAACTCAGTAATGCCCTTGCCGGAAAATAAACAGACTTCCTGTCAGTTGCAGAGCTTAAATGTATGGATTCTCAAAGCTTTGATGTTTGAGGTTATTTCAAACAAAAGCTGTATGTACTTTAAATTTTTCTTTTGGCCTATTTCTAACGGATAACTCCTATTAGTTTGAACTATTCAAACAAATATTTAGGTCCTCACTCTGGCTCACAGGTTTAAATTATAAGCTATCTTCGTTGGTATAGAACAGGACAGTCCCTTAGATTCACAGAGGACAGCGGATGGAAGGGGGCAGGTGGGGACAGATAACTAGCTGTGATGGGAGTACTAAGCACATTATATTTCTGCACGGGTGGGCAGGGTGCTGCCGATGCCCTGAGAATCCCAGAAGCCGCCCCCTTAGAAAACTCACATACGTGGCACTATATGTGTAGCCTATATAGTTCATTTGACAAAGAACAAAAACCAAGTATTTAGAGGAGTAATTCAGCTATGAACAGGAAAAATTGGCTTTGAATTTGTCTGGACAACACTAGTGTCCAATTTTTTTTTTTTAACGTTTATTTATTCTTAAGAGAGAGACAGAGCATGAGCAGGGGAGGGGCAGAGAAAGAGGAAGACACAGATTCTGAGGCAGGCTCCAGGCTCCGAGCTGTCAGCACAGAGCCCGACGCGGGGCTCAAACTCACGAACTGCGAGATCATGACCTGAGCTGAAGCCAGATGCTTCACTGACTGAGCCACCCACATGCCCCAGTGTCCAATATTTTTAACTATGTTATTTTGTTATTTTTTTAACGTTTATTTTTGAGAGACAGAAAGAAAGAGAGACAGAGTGTGAGAGGGGTGGCAGGAACGCAGAGAGAGGGAGCCACAGAATCAGAAGCAGGCTTCAGGCTCCAAGCTGTCAGCACAGAGCCCGACACGGGGCTGGAACTCACAAGCTGTGAGATCATGACCTGAGCCGAAGTCAGACGCTTAACCGACTGAGCCACCCAGGTGCCCCCTTAACTATGTTACTTTAAAACAAGAATAACCGAAGTGAATTCAGAAACTTTGAGGGTTTATTCAATATCTATGTAAGCCTGAAGTCATTTCAACCACTTACAAAGATTTAAATGTTTAAGTCATTAAAAGCTTTAGAAATAACAGGTCAGCCACCTGAAAACCAAGGGAAGAATTAAACCAAGAAGTTTATTTCAAAGTGTTAATTCAGAGAGTGTATATTTACAGGAAGTCAGGATAGCCCAGATTTTAGCATCATTCGTAATAAACATCTTTCAACAAATTTGGCAACAGTGAAGAAAGATCCTGAACTGTTTACCCAAGATTCACACTAAATAGCCATTTATAAGACCTTGCCATTTCTATTGACAGCGATTTATGTACCAACAAACTACTGGTTATTCTCCTATTCCTGAAAGAAGATTTTTTTTTTTTTTTGAGAAATAAATGACATTTAACCCTAAACAGATTGAACTGTTTCATGCTAATGCCCTAGGGGCACATGGCAGCCCAGATCAAAGTTACTTACTTCGTCCTTCTCACGGTCACTGCCGCTGCTGGGAGGGGAAAATGGCAAAACTAAAAGAAAAGAAGTGTACAACGGGGAAGTTTGCCTATGAGACGTACAAAAATTCATTTCTCCCTCTCTCCCAGTTATACATGCCCATACTAGAAGTAATTCCCACATCCTGAAGCGTGCTCACATGTGTAGCTCTTAAGATCCCTTTCTAATATCCACCTTGTTCCTGAGACCTCACCCCCCGACATGAATTTTATGCTCCAGACCCTACCTCTGATGCTGTCCTCACGTCAATTTGTCCTCGTAATTTTACCTCATTTAAAATATTTCCTCTTCTGCACACCTCTCTGAGTGCTGGTCTTTCCCAAGGATTAGCTCAAATCCACCTGCCTCTTCCTTGAAGCTTCTCCTAGCTCCTTCTTCTAGCTCATGTTAGATGATCCTTATCTGAACTCCTACTCCATTTATCTGTAGCTCATATTTAATTATCGGTCAATTCTACATTCTCTCGTATGGTTTCGTGGACGTACATGTTGGCCTTTCCAACGTAATCGTAGCAGGGAAGGGAGGGCACGTAATCAGTTTGTCTTTGGTACCCTCCCTCCTTCCGTCACATAACTGAAAAATGCCTGATTTATTTGAAAAACGACTTGAAAGAAGACACGGACCAAACTCACTTCTCACACTACTTCTAATTCTCGTCTTTTTTCTCCCGGAATACGGTCTTAGGGATTTCCTTTTTTGGTTACTGGTCCAAGATCGTTCACTGGTCCCAGTACTCGAATCCTGATCACTCTCTGAGAAGAGGTGTTTCCTGTAATTGAACTTTCACAAGCACAGATGAGAAATGAGCCCTATTCACAGGGTGTCAGTGTCCTTTATGTACAATTAAACATATCGCTACAGGGTCAGACAAAAGACCGGTAACTCCTTCTAGAAGACTGCGCTCTCCTGTAGTGTAAAGGCAGAGAAGTAAGGAGAGGGGAGAAAAAGAACAGGTTTCATCAGTCAGTTCTCAACCAAACTGCTGTTGTGAGGGATGGGAGTCCTCTCTCATCAAAAATAGTTGCAACTGAAGAGACCATAGGTGACTGTTCAGAAGCTGACATACCTGAATATCATCCCAACACTTTTAACTTCAAAATATTATTGCAAGTGACAGAAGAATTTATAAAAATACTTTTTGCAATGACAAGCATTTCATTTAGAGTACCTAAAGTCGAACAAGGGAGTAATTTCTATTTAAACCTCAAAGTATTTTTGAAAGTAAGACTAGCCTGGGGCGCCTGGGTGGCTCAGTTGGTTAAGCATCGAACTTCGGCTCAGGTCATGATCTCATGGTCCGTGAGTTCAAGCCCCGGGGCCGGGCTCTGTGCTGACAGCTCAGAGCCCGGAGCCTGCTTCAGATTCTGTGTCTCCTTCTCCGCCCCTCCCCTGCTCAAATCCTGGGGGTGGGAGAGCTTTAAAAATTTCCAGGACCTAAACATCACCCTAGATCAGTTAAGTCAGAATCTTTGGGGGAAGGGACCCAGGCTCCAATAGTCTCATCAGCTTTCCTAGCGTGTTTCCAGTTCAAAGACTGAGCAGCACAGAGTGAGGACCATTGCTAAAAGCAAGCCAGATGGAGACTTAACTTGATGAAAGCCCATGATCTCAATTAAAAAAATTTCATTTAGGGGCGCCTGGGTGGCGCAGTCGGTTAAGCGTCCGACTTCAGCCAGGTCACGATCTCGCGGTCCGTGAGTTCGAGCCCCGCGTCGGGCTCTGGGCTGATGGCTCAGAGCCTGGAGCCTGTTTCCGATTCTGTGTCTCCCTCTCTCTCTGCCCCTCCCGCGTTCATGCTCTGTCTCTCTCTGTCCCCAAAAAAATAAATAAACGTTGAAAAAAAAATTTCATTTAATGTTCATTATAGAGTTTTTAAATGCACTGACTATGGACTTGGAGCAGTGTGCTTCCTGAAGTGAGAGGCACACAGAAAGGGTGTAAGTTGGTGCAAATAGGAATGAAAAAAAACCACGTTATGGACTCACAGTAAATAATTTCATTTCAGTTCAGCAACACTTCTGATTCAATTCAGGATAAATCACAGGTGCTAGAGGGTCCTTAACACTTTTCTTCTACTTAATCTTTTTTAACAAAGCAAGAACGGACTTTCGTTTTAAAAGTGAAATAATTTTTTTATGATAAGTCTCAAATCAATTTAATTAGAGATAATAAAGGACCAGGGCGGGGACACATTTTGAAGAAGACTTGCAGATAACTGAAATTTTGAAAGTAACTGCCTTAAGACAAGTAAAGTTACTCCATTACCGACATCCTTGTTTCTGGCTTTCTCTCCGCCTCGGAAGCAGAATCTGCCCTAAAACAAAATAGGTCAGATGAACAGAACTGTGTCAACACTGCCTTCTCCCTCCCTTCACTGCCCAGCCCAGACATTTTTCCCCCCTTTCTGTGCCCTTTGTCTGATTGTGAGCCCAGTGTGTGGGAGGTACCCCCCACCCCCAATCCTGCAGACCGACTTCTTATCTTATAACCCATTTCTATAGATTCTCTACCAGACAACAACTGGTTCTTTAAAGCAAAGGAATCTTTGTTGGACTCTTCTCTGCCGGGCATACAGAGAACTGGGAAGGGCAAGTTAAAACCAGCAGGGAAGCAGGGAGGTGTGGCAATGCTGCAGAATGGCATTTCCTGCGTGGCTCTTCCTTAGAATCAACAAGGAAGCTTAACAAGAAAGCTCTTCCCAATAATTAGTGAATATTGAGCAATTTCTCATATACCTGCTGGCCATTTATGGCCTTCGGAGAAGTGTGTATTCAAGTCCTTTGCCCGCTTTTTAAATTGGGCTGATTTTATGGCTATTGAGTTGTAGGAGTTCCTTAGGTATTTTGGTAATTAACTCCTTATTGGATATACGCTGTGATTTAAAAAAAAAAACAACCACACCCAAAAGATAACAAGTGTTGGTGAAAATGCGGAGAAATTGGAACACTTACAAATTGTTTGTAGGAGCGTAAAATGGTATAGCCACCATGGAAAACAATATAGAAATTCCTCAAAAAATTAAAAGTAGAACTATCGTATGATCCAGCAATTGTATTTCCGGGTATACACCCAAAAGAATTAAAATCAAGAGCTTGACGAGATACTGGCAATCCCATATTCATTTACGTATTACTTACAATAGTCAAGTTATGGAGACAATATGGATAAAATGTGGTGTTATATACATTACTTACAGACAGACACACACAAATACTATTCAGTATTAAAAGAAAATCCTGAAATATGTAACAACATGGATAAACTTGGAAGGCATTTTGATAAAATAAGCCAGCCGCAAAAGGACAAATAGAGCATGCTTCTACTTCTAGAATATCTAACGTGATATCTACATATCTGATATTTTAGATATCCGATATCTAAAATAGTCAAACAATAGAAACAATAGAGAGGTTATTGAAAGGAGCTGGAGAGAGAAATATGGAGTTTTTTTTCAATAGGTATAACGTTGTGTAAGACGCAGGATAAGTTTTGGAGATCCATTGTTTCACACTGTGCCTACAGTTAACAATACTGTGCTCTGCACTTAAAAATGTGTCAAGATGGTAGAACTCACGCTAAGTGTTTTTGTCACAATGAAACCAAAATCAAAGACAAACGAAAAAGCTAATGCACCATATTTCTGGGTAACCATTGATCCACTTTCTGCCTCTATAAATTAGTTTGCATTTTCTAGTATCTTATATGAATGGAATCATACAACGTGTACTCTTTTTTGTCTGGCTTCTTTCATTTGGCATGATTATTTGGAGATTATTCAGTTGTGTGTATCAACTTTTTATTTCTTTTTATTCCTGAGTAGTAGTCCGTCATGTGGATATACTAAAATCTGTTTATGCACTCATCTGTTGATGGGCATTTGGGTTGTTTCCAGTTCAGGATAATTACAAATAAAGCTGCTCTAAACACTCATTTGTGTGGACATATGCTGTTCCTTCTCTCGGGTAGACGGCTAGGAGTGGAGAAGCGAGACTGTAAGACACGTACATATTTAACATTTTAAAAAACTACCAGCAGTGTATAAAGTTCCAGTTGTTCTTCATCCTCACCAACACTTGGTATAGTCTGTATTTCTCATTTTAATCACTGTACTACATGTGTGCTAGTATCTTATAATTTCAATCTTGATTTCCCTAATAGCTAATGACATTGAACAAGTACTTATCTATCATCTGTAGATCTTCCTTACTGAAGTGGCTGTTCAAATCTTTTGCCTATATTTTTACCGGGTTGTTGTTTTGTTATTGAATTTTGAGAGTACTTAACATATTTTGGGTACAAGTCCTTTAACAAGTACAGGTTTTACCAATTTTTTCTGCAAGTGTGTATCTGCTCCCTTCATTCTCCTAAATTTTATTTTGAAAGTTTTAAATTTTGATTAAGTTCAATTTATCAATTTGTTTTTTTATGGCCCGCACTTTGGTGTTATATCTAAAAAATCTTTGCCTAATGGAAGGTCACAAAGATGTTTTCTTATGCTTTCTTTCAGTTAGGTTTTTACATTTGGATTTATGATTGATTTTGTTATTTGTGTGTGTGTGTGTGTGTGTGTGTGTGTGTGTGTGTGTGTGGTGGAATGTAAAGACCAAATACCATCGATCTTGTTGCATATACAGAGAGTCAATGGTTCTAGCACCATTTGTTGGAAAAAGTGATTTCTCCACTGAATTGTCTTTGCACTTTTGTCACATGGCAGTTGTCCATATAGGCATAGGAAGACTTCCTGCTCTGTTCCACTTATCTACCTTTATGGCAACAACATACTCTCTTGATTACTGTTAGCTTTATACAAAGTCTTGAAATACATAATATATTAGTCACTTTGTATTTCTTTTTGAAATTTGTTCTGGGAGTTACAGGTTCCTTAAATTCCCATCTGAAATCTAGAAATACCTTGCCAATTTCTAAAAACAAAAACACAAATCTCTGCTGGGATTTGAACTGGGTTTGTATGAAACCTATTAGAGATCAATTTGAGAAAAATTGGCATCTTATCAACATTCAGGCTGCCATACCATGATGAGAGAGAGTTATCTCTCTCCATTTATTCAGATCTTCCTTAATAGCTCTTAGCAATACCTTGTACTCTTCAGTGTAAAAGTCTTGCAAATCTTTTGCCAAATTAATCCTTATCTATGTCATTTTTAATACTATTGTAAATGGTGATGCTAAAAAATTTGATTGTTGCTAGCATACAGAAAGAAACTTGATTTTTATATCAATCTTGTATGCTTCAATTTTGTTACATTTACTTATTAGTCCTTTAATAATTAATTTCCACCGGGGGCTTGCTCCTTGGGTGGCTCAGTCGGTTAAGCATCTGACTTCGGCTCAGGTCATGATTTCATGATTTGTGAGTTTGAGTGCCATGTCTGGCTCTGTGCTCACAGCTTTGAGCCTGGAGCCTGCTTCAGATTCTGTGTCTCCCTCGCTCTTTGCCCCTCCCCCACTTGTGCTATGTCTGTCTCTGTCTCTCAAAAATAATAATCAACATTAAAAAAAATAATTTCCACAAAGTTGCAGGATACAAAATGAACACAGAGGTCAGTTGTGTTTCTAAATTTTTTTTTTTTAACCTTTATTTATTTTTGAGACAGAGAGAGACAGAGCATGAACGCGGGAGGGGCAGAGAGAGAGGGAGACACAGAATCGGAAACAGGCTCCAGGCTCTGAGCCATCAGCCCAGAGCCCGACGCGGGGCTCGAACTCGCGGACCGCGAGATCGTGACCTGAGCCGAAGTCGGACGCCTAACCGACTGAGC